TTTGGTCAATCACTTTTTTTAACCCATCGATTTTTGAAATGTTTGAATGCCAATTGATAGTAGGGATCCCTACGAATTCAAAAAGGTATAACATTTCAAAATCGGACAATATTTACCTGAGATATTCAAAAAAAATCATCAAAAAAGTTTTGATTTTCCAACCGACCCCGATTTTTAGAAAAAACGTGATGTAACCCCTTGCCATTTTTCCGATTTTGGTCAAAATTTAGATTTTCATTATTTTGATGCCAATCGATAGTACTGATCCTTACGAGTCCAAAATGGTATAAAATTACCAAATCGGACATTATTTGGCCGAGATATTCCAACTAATCATCCAAAAAAGGTTGACTTTACAAACGAATCGGTTTTTGGTCAATCACTTTTTTTAACCCATCGATTTTTGAAATGTTTGAATGCCAAATGTAGGGATCCCTACGAATTCAAAAAGGTATAACATTTCAAAATCGGACAATATTTACCTCAGATATTCAAAAAAAATCATCAAAAAAGTTTTGATTTTCCAACCGACCCCGATTTTTAGAAAAAACGTGATGTAACCCCTTGCCATTTTTCCGATTTTGGTAAAAATTTAGATTTTCATTATTTTGATGCCAATCGATAGTACTGATCCTTACGAGTCCAAAATGGTATAAAATTACCAAATCGGACATTATTTGGCCGAGATATTCCAACTAATCATCCAAAAAAGGATGACTTTACAAACAAATCGGTTTTTGGTCAACCACTTTTTTTAACCCATCGATTTTTGAAATGTTTGAATGCCAATTGATAGTAGGGATCCCTACGAATTCAAAAAGGTATAACATTTCAAAATCGGACAATATTTACCTCAGATATTCAAAAAAAATCATCAAAAAAGTTTTGATTTTCCAACCGACCCCGATTTTTAGAAAAAACGTGATGTAACCCCTTGCCATTTTTCCGATTTTGGTCAAAATTTAGATTTTCATTATTTTGATGCCAATCGATAGTACTGATCCTTACGAGTCCAAAATGGTATAAAATTACCAAATCGGACATTATTTGGCCGAGATATTCCAACTAATCATCCAAAAAAGGATGACTTTACAAACAAATCGGTTTTTGGTCAACCACTTTTTTTAACCCATCGATTTTTGAAATGTTTGAATGCCAATTGATAGTAGGGATCCCTACGAATTCAAAAAGGTATAACATTTCAAAATCTGACAATATTTACCAGAGATATTCAAAAAAAATCATCAAAAAAGTTTTGATTTTCCAACCGACCCCGATTTTTAGAAAAAACGTGATGTAACCCCTTGCCATTTTTCCGATTTTGGTAAAAATTTAGATTTTCATTATTTTGATGCCAATCGATAGTACTGATCCTTACGAGTCCAAAATGGTATAAAATTACCAAATCGGACATTATTTGGCCGAGATATTCCAACTAATCATCCAAAAAAGGTTGACTTTACAAACGAATCTGTTTTTGGTCAATCACTTTTTTTAACCCATCGATTTTTGAAATGTTTGAATGCCAATTGATAGTAGGGATCCCTACGAATTCAAAAAGGTATAACATTTCAAAATCTGACAATATTTACCAGAGATATTCAAAAAAAATCATCAAAAAAGTTTTGATTTTCCAACCGACCCCGATTTTTAGAAAAAACGTGATGTAACCCCTTGCCATTTTTCCGATTTTGGTAAAAATTTAGATTTTCATTATTTTGATGCCAATCGATAGTACTGATCCTTACGAGTCCAATGGTATAAAATTACCAAATCGGACATTATTTGGCCGAGATATTCCAACTAATCATCCAAAAAAGGATGACTTTACAAACAAATCGGTTTTTGGTCAACCACTTTTTTTAACCCATCGATTTTTGAAATGTTTGAATGCCAATTGATAGTAGGGATCCCTACGAATTCAAAAAGGTATAACATTTCAAAATCTGACAATATTTACCAGAGATATTCAAAAAAAATCATCAAAAAAGTTTTGATTTTCCAACCGACCCCGATTTTTAGAAAAAACGTGATGTAACCCCTTGCCATTTTTCCGATTTTGGTAAAAATTTAGATTTTCATTATTTTGATGCCAATCGATAGTACTGATCCTTACGAGTCCAAAATGGTATAAAATTACCAAATCGGACATTATTTGGCCGAGATATTCCAACTAATCATCCAAAAAAGGTTGACTTTACAAACGAATCGGTTTTTGGTCAATCACTTTTTTTAACCCATCGATTTTTGAAATGTTTGAATGCCAATTGATAGTAGGGATCCCTACGAATTCAAAAAGGTATAACATTTCAAAATCGGACAATATTTACCTGAGATATTCAAAAAAATCATCAAAAAAGTTTTGATTTTCCAACCGACCCCGATTTTTAGAAAAAACGTGATGTAACCCCTTGCCATTTTCCTTTTGGTAAAATTTAGATTTTCATTATTTTGATGCCAATCGATAGTACTGATCCTTACGAGTCCAAAATGGTATAAAATTACCAAATCGGACATTATTTGGCCGAGATATTCCAACTAATCATCCAAAAAAGGATGACTTTACAAACAAATCGGTTTTTGGTCAACCACTTTTTTTAACCCATCGATTTTTGAAATGTTTGAATGCCAATTGATAGTAGGGATCCCTACGAATTCAAAAAGGTATAACATTTCAAAATCTGACAATATTTACCAGAGATATTCAAAAAAAATCATCAAAAAAGTTTTGATTTTCCAACCGACCCCGATTTTTAGAAAAAACGTGATGTAACCCCTTGCCATTTTTCCGATTTTGGTAAAAATTTAGATTTTCATTATTTTGATGCCAATCGATAGTACTGATCCTTACGAGTCCAAAATGGTATAAAATTACCAAATCGGACATTATTTGGCCGAGATATTCCAACTAATCATCCAAAAAAGGTTGACTTTACAAACGAATCGGTTTTTGGTCAATCACTTTTTTTAACCCATCGATTTTTGAAATGTTTGAATGCCAATTGATAGTAGGGATCCCTACGAATTCAAAAAGGTATAACATTTCAAAATCTGACAATATTTACCAGAGATATTCAAAAAAAATCATCAAAAAAGTTTTGATTTTCCAACCGAACCCCGATTTTTAGAAAAAACGTGATGTAACCCCTTGCCATTTTTCCGATTTTGGTAAAAATTTAGATTTTCATTATTTTGATGCCAATCGATAGTACTGATCCTTACGAGTCCAAAATGGTATAAAATTACCAAATCGGACATTATTTGGCCGAGATATTCCAACTAATCATCCAAAAAAGGATGACTTTACAAACAAATCGGTTTTTGGTCAACCACTTTTTTTAACCCATCGATTTTTGAAATGTTTGAATGCCAATTGATAGTAGGGATCCCTACGAATTCAAAAAGGTATAACATTTCAAAATCTGACAATATTTACCAGAGATATTCAAAAAAAATCATCAAAAAAGTTTTGATTTTCCAACCGAACCCCGATTTTTAGAAAAAACATGATGTAACCCCTTGCCATTTTTCCGATTTTGGTCAAAATTTAGATTTTCATTATTTTGATGCCAATCGATAGTACTGATCCTTACGAGTCCAAAATGGTATAAAATTACCAAATCGGACATTATTTGGCCGAGATATTCCAACTAATCATCCAAAAAAGGATGACTTTACAAACAAATCGGTTTTTGGTCAACCACTTTTTTTAACCCATCGATTTTTGAAATGTTTGAATGCCAATTGATAGTAGGGATCCCTACGAATTCAAAAAGGTATAACATTTCAAAATCTGACAATATTTACCAGAGATATTCAAAAAAAATCATCAAAAAAGTTTTGATTTTCCAACCGACCCCGATTTTTAGAAAAAACGTGATGTAACCCCTTGCCATTTTTCCGATTTTGGTAAAAATTTAGATTTTCATTATTTTGATGCCAATCGATAGTACTGATCCTTACGAGTCCAAAATGGTATAAAATTACCAAATCGGACATTATTTGGCCGAGATATTCCAACTAATCATCCAAAAAAGGTTGACTTTACAAACGAATCTGTTTTTGGTCAATCACTTTTTTTAACCCATCGATTTTTGAAATGTTTGAATGCCAATTGATAGTAGGGATCCCTACGAATTCAAAAAGGTATAACATTTCAAAATCTGACAATATTTACCAGAGATATTCAAAAAAAATCATCAAAAAAGTTTTGATTTTCCAACCGAACCCCGATTTTTAGAAAAAACGTGATGTAACCCCTTGCCATTTTTCCGATTTTGGTAAAAATTTAGATTTTCATTATTTTGATGCCAATCGATAGTACTGATCCTTACGAGTCCAAAATGGTATAAAATTACCAAATCGGACATTATTTGGCCGAGATATTCCAACTAATCATCCAAAAAAGGTTGACTTTACAAACGAATCTGTTTTTGGTCAATCACTTTTTTTAACCCATCGATTTTTGAAATGTTTGAATGCCAATTGATAGTAGGGATCCCTACCAATTCAAAAAGGTATAACAAAAAAGTTTTGTTTTTCCAACCGACCCCGATTTTTAGAAAAAACGTGATGTAACCCCTGTCCATTTTTCCGATTTCGAGATATTCAAAAAAATCATCAAAAAAAGTTGACTTTACAAACTAATCGGTTTTTGGTCAATTACTTTTTTTAACCCATCGATTTTTGAAATGTTTGAATGCCAATTGATCCCTACGAATTTAAAAAGGTATAACATTTCAAAATCTGACAATATTTACCAGAGATATTCAAAAAAAATATTTAAAAAGTTTTGATTTTCCAACCGACACCGATTTTTAGAAAAAACTTAACCCCTTGCCATTTTTCCGATTTTGGAAAACCTAGTTTAAGAACTGTAGCTAAAAGCAGGTAGTTGGTTTGAACCTTCTACCTACCTCATCAATAAGATTAAAATAATAATCTTTATGCCTCAGAAACAATTCGAGTAACAGGCTTTGAGATTTTATTCTTAGTGTCAATATCATTTGTGTTTAGAATACAATAATAAAAAACACATTGAACACTCTACTAGCAATGACTCTCTTAAAAGCTAAATGTCTTTTACGGTTGGCATCTACAAAATCGTTCAATCGGTTGAATTTCTATCGGTTCTGGCATGTGTCCCGGGTGATGCGCGATTGTGGCTCCGATTACGAGTTAAACGATCATAAATATGATGCTATTGTAATTGGGGCTGGTGGAGCTGGAATGCGTGCAGGATTCGAGTTGGCTAAGAGAGGATTTAAGACTGCAATGCTGTCGAAACTGTTCCCGACAAGGTCGCACACGGTGGCAGCACAAGGCGGGGTAAATGCTGCTCTGAGCAATATGGACAAGGACGACTGGAAGTTCCACTTCTACGACACAGTTAAGGGCAGCGACTGGTTGGGGGATCAGAATGCCATCCACTACATGTGCCGAGAAGCGATGGAAGCCGTATACGAGCTCGACCAATATGGTATGCCTTTTTCACGACGGGAGGATGGCAAGATTTATCAGCGGCCTTTTGGAGGACAGACACTAGGCTACGGCAAGGGTGGCGTAGCTAGGCGTTCCTGCGCAGTGGCCGATCGCACCGGGCACGCACTTATTCACACGCTCTATGGCCAGACTCTGAAGCACGGGGATCTCTGCCATTATTATATCGATTATTTTGTGCTCGATTTAATAATGGCAGATTCCCGCTGCTTGGGTTGCCTGGCTTGGAATTTGGATGACGGCACCTTTCATCGGTTCATTGCCAAGAACACTGTGGTTGCGTCTGGCGGTTGTGGACGCGTGTATTTTTCAACCACCGCAGGCCATACTTGCACTGGAGATGGAAACGCTTGGGTTTCACGCGCCAAACTTCCGCTTATGGACATGGAGTTTGTACAGTTTCATCCTACCGGTATATACGGAGCTGGCTGTCTCATCACTGAGGGTGTTCGCGGCGAGGGCGGCTTCTTTGTCAATTCTAAGGGCGAACGTTTTATGGAACAATATGCACCTGAGGCCAAGGACTTAGCCTCGCGCGATGTTGTAGCGCGTGCTATGACATTGGAGGTGTTGAAAGGAAATGGCTGTGGCCCCCTCAAAGATCATGTCCACTTACAGCTACACCATATTGATCCTGAAATTATTTCAAAACGTCTGCCTGGAATATTGACAACAGCTAGAATTTTCGCTAAAGTGGATGTAACCAAGGAACCCGTGCCGGTGTTGCCCACCGTGCACTACAACATGGGCGGTGTACCTACGGATTTCATGGGCAGAGTGGTCACACTTAACGATGAGTCTAAAGATCAAATTATACAGGGCCTCTACTCTTGTGGAGAGACTTCGTGCGCTTCGGTCCACGGTGCGAATCGTTTGGGCGCCAACTCTTTGCTCGATTTGGTTGTCTTTGGGCGCTCATGCGCCATGGATATTGTAGCCAATAGCTGCCCAGGAGATACGCCACCCGATGTGAGCGACAGTGCCACTGAAGAATCAATGGCCAACTTCAAAAAGTTGCGAAATGCCGATGGCAAAACTCCAACGGCCTCGTTGCGAATGGAACTGCAGCGGACCATGACCACGCATGCTGCGGTCTTCCGCGAGGGCAAGCTGTTAAAAGATGGACTAGCGAAGGTCATCCAGCTGTGCCAACAATTCAAGGATATAAAGGTGTTTGACCGAACTCTAGTGTGGAATACGGATCTCATTGAGACGCTGGAACTACAAAATATGCTGGTCAATGCTGTGCACATCATCACTGCCATGGAAAATCGCAAGGAGTCCCGGGGCTCGCATGCTCGTGAGGACTTTCCGAAGCGCTTGGACGAGTACGACTACAGCGCTCCCATTGCGGGGCAGAAGAAGAAACCATTAGATGAACACTGGCGCAAGCACACCTTGACCTTTGCCCTGAACGACGAGGGCTGCGTCGATGTCAAATATCGCGAGGTCATTGACAAAACCTTAGATGACACCATAAATCCCATACCACCCGCTCCACGTACCTACTGAATAATGATACCATATAATAATCCAACCATGTAATATAATACATAATCGAGTGCAGAGCATTGAGCCACGTTTGTTTTAATTTCAAACTCCATTTTGCAGCCCTTTTTCTAAACCCTCGCAGAGGTTATTATAATTTTGTCTCGAAATGTATAACTCATAGAAGGAGACATCTGCAAAATCCTATCAACATCGGTCGAAAATTAAGTAATTCCATGGAAAGCCTTTCGTTTTTCAAGATATTTTGGCCAAACTCGGCATTTATAGGTTTTACTATGCTCCCTAAATTTATGCGAAATCTTGTTTACGTCGGACGATGTAACTCATATAGCTGCTATCGGAACGATCGTTCGAAAACGAGGTTCTTGTATTAAAACAATTTTTTTGTTTTTCAGATATCAACTATACTCGGCGTTAACAATTTTCCCTGTGCTACTTAAATACGAACAAAGCATTATACAAAGGTTAAGTCTGCAAGGGTATTAAATGTTCTGCATGCCGAAGATAGCCCTTCTTTCTCGTTTATATCAAAATAGCTATAAATGTGTTAGGAAAAGATATAAATAAATACTCGATTTTTTTTTTTAAGGCAAGGGTTAAATACCTTTATTAATAGGGGTCCTTTTGGAGTGAGAAATGTGAATGTGCGTGTGTAAGTACTCGGCATTTTTCAGGAACTCTCGACTAGCGCACTCTGATTCATATTATTTTAAGAGCTTTCCTATTAGCATAAAGTTTATGAGAACGCACATATAAATATGTTTGTTTCGGTTCTGGATTACATTTATATTAAACTGCTGGCAATGCGGGCTGGCCAGTGCCAGTCCTAATGACCACAATAAATTATATTCATTTAGGATCGTTTAACATATAGGAAAAAAGAGCAGAGGCTGTTAAAGAAATAATTTATAGCTGTTGAAAACTTAACATGTTCATTTGGCCACATGTGTGTGGGCTTTGTTGAGGATTAAATCTATGAGTGTTGGTGTTCGTGTTTCTACTCGTGCTTCAATGTTCGTGTATGTGTGTGTGGACAACAAGTGAAAAGCCAACAACAACAAGCCCCTCGCACATAAATACTTCACACACATACACCCAGCTAACAACACAGAATGATACCACCCCAACAATTTACCCTCCCCCCAGCTCAAGCAGAAACTATTTACTATGTGCTACATATGTACATTGTGTGGCGCCTTTTGTGGTATGTCGGGCGGTGTGGTTATATAGTTGTTGTTGTAGGAGTATGCTGCTGTTTGTTGCTGCTGGCAGCAACGGCCCACAAATTACAGTTGCACACACATTTGCCTGTGTTAAATTGTCTCACAACCAATACAAAGTGACCTTTTTCATTTATTTTTATGATTCCTCCCATCCTTGATACGTGCGTTACCTCACAGCCACTCACAGCGACAGCCACTCTTCCCTCTTTAGCCCATAAAAAAATGGCTAGCAACTGTGGGCGCCCAAACAGAAACTACGGAAAGCTCGTTGGTTGGCTACTTGGCTTTTTTTTCTGGCAAACGAGGAATGCATTCCACTGTGTGCCTTACCGAATATTTTTTGTAATCTATTCAATGCACGGTGCTGCGAAATCAATTTGGGGAAATCAAATTTGAAAAGCTTTAAAGCCGAGTTGCAAAAGAAAACTAAAGTGCAATTACATGAAAGGTATAAGTTATCGAATTTTTTAAAACTAGAAGCACATATTCAGTTTTATTTTTGTAAATACCGTTAACGTATTTTTATACCCTGGTAAAGGGTATTTTCATTTTCTCACGAAATGTGCTAAGCATAAAATGGGACGTCTTCTAACCCGAAAAGTATATAAATATTATGGACTGTATTTTCACCAAACTTGGTACGATTTTAAAAAAGGTTGTCAAATTAATTATGCAATTAAGAACCTTAATTTTGTCCATAAAGTTTAACTGCTTTTTCTATAGCTTATATAAAAACAACATGTCTTAAAGGGTATTGAATCTTCGTTGTGCTGAAGATATGGGACTTTCATGTTGTTTTCTGATTGCTTATCATCTTTGTTGTCTAGTTTAGTGCTTTAGGGGTTTACTTTTTTTTAGTTTCTACTCTCCTAACCATCTCATGTGTGTTTACTGGCCTGCAAAAATATAAGGATTTTGGAGAGTTCAACCCAATCATCTGCACCGACGGATCCATTATTGGCATTGTAGGGGAACAGTTAACATTTACATTGCGTTGGAGCAAACCAAATCAAATTCCATTTCAGAACGCACACATTTTCAAACTTTTGCTTTATTCTGATTGTGGTCCATCCTGGCCAAATTCGGCAAACTATTTCAGTTATGTGAAACTGCAAATCATTTTGTATTTTGTTTATTTTACTTTGTTGTACACTTGGTTTTGGATGAGGGCTTTGTTACACCTGCCTTTTATATACCCTGTACTTATAATTACAAAGAATTGTCGATGACTGAAGAGAAAAATAATTTTCTTTTCCTATTAAAGATAGCGTAAAAGAAATTTCGATTTATCTGAAAAAAAAAGCTTAATACCGAAACTAATGGAGTCCGCAAAATGATAAAAAACATTTGCGGCATTCAATTGTTTTTGTAATAAATTATCAGCTTACAGGTAAATACGATGCGTTTCTGCTAGAACTTTATTTACCTGGATTGTAGCAGCCAGCGTCGAGTGTAGTAAAAATAATTTATTTCCCGCACATGCACAAGTACGTGATTCAGGAATTTCAAGAGTAATAGAATGTGAATTATTTTAATTTTTCCATTTTGTTTTCAAGTTTGAACGGATTCAGATGATGTGAAATTTAAACTGAAATAAATAATTGTTTATTTGTAGTATAGAACGTGCTGCAAAAATAGGAAATAATTGCTGTTTGATGATGCTAATGCGGTGAAGTATCAGAAAATTCAATTAGCTTATCGTACAGAACTTTTTATTTAGCATATATATATATAGAAAAATTAATTTAGAATTTTAGTATAACTTTTAAATATTGATAAAAAAAACTGCACAGTTCGTATACATAGAGCTATAACATTTATAATTGCAATAGTTTGTAAAATTGAAATTCCTTGACTTTTAAGTGTCGCTGTTAAGCACCTTTTACCTTTCTCGTCTGGTATTTGGATGACAGCATCTTATAAATTCATTGCGTTCACTTGGTTCTCACCTGAGCTTTTGTTGCTGTAGTCAAATGAGTTTTGCATAAACAAACATCTCTTCTAACTGGCATCGGGCTCCGCAACAGCATAGATGTGAGGAAAGGAATTGCCTCGACTTTAACAGCAGCAAGAAATCAGTACAATGTTTGGCCAGCAACTGCATAATCAAGAGCAGCAAAAAGTAGAGAAAGTAAAGTGTTCTGGCATTTGCTATCATGTTGGTCTCTGGATTTTCAAGACCTGCTAAAGTGCCAACTTGATACTGGTCCCGGGACTGGGATCCATACCGGCTGTTTCCTTTTTGCAAATAAAAACGCGTTGTGCCTAAGGACCACGTTCTTATTCAAGGAATTCTGCGGCTTACCGTTTACGGTATTTTCCATTTCGTGCTGGCTAACACGACGCATCAGTAATACCAATGGTGTGTCCAAAATGAACATAGAGTGCGGGTTACAGCTGCTTGCCTGCCACTCGGCCTGACTGCAGCGCATTTCCATTAATGACTTGGCAGAGTCCCTCAGTTTTGGCTCTTTGTTTTCCCTGTTCCATTGTTGTTGGTCGCAAGCAAAGATGAGCATGGAAAGTATCAAACAATAACAGCAATAATGGCAGCAGCAGCAACAAAGTTCGCTTGCAATTTCGCAGGACTCGCCACATCGCCCCCTACACTTGGGGCTAGGGACACGACTGCACAGTCCGTTGCCTTTCGTTTTGGCCAGAACTAAGTTTATTTCACATTTGTATTCATTTGTTTTGAGTTTTATTTAGCCAGCAAAACAATAACAAAAATAAATATTCTCGAATATTTCTGTGTGTTTAATTTTTACCAATGCTCAACGGGGAAACTATTTTTGCTGCATAGTCCAGCCCTTGCTATTTCATGTAGAATATATTCTATTCAAGTTACTGCCTTACATTTGAACGGTTGCTTTAAAAAGCTTATTTTGTGGTTGGGAAATTAAATCACAAAATGTTTTACAGACACCTTCAAAAGATTTAACTTTAACAATATACAACGTTATCTCAATGAAGATGCATCTATACAAAAAATATCGTAATCCTAAATAGAAGATTTCGTATAGTAAAATGTTTCAAAATCTACTTCTGCGGTTGATCATTGTCCGTCTGTCGATAAGAAGATTTGATAATACTTAGCAAATCATATTCAATTAAAGATGTTAAATTTACCAAGTTTTTTACGTTCTAAATAATCACACAGTTGGAACAAAAAGGTTTCAAAAGCAATTGGCTTAGGCGATCACATAATCATTTCAGGCATCCATTTTACCTTCAAAAAAAGAGACATCGCCGAAAGTGCTGCTAATTATATCCTCCACTGGAATGAATCAACAAACAGAAGGGTCCACTCGCAACGCGTCCGCAAGCAAACTGACAGTTGGATAAGTTACCGTGGCCAAAAAATGAGTGGGTTGTAACTTCAACTTGTATTTACCAAAAAGGGAAGACAGGGGCTTTGTAGGGGGAAGCCGGGAAAGTGGAAGCCGACGAAGTGGGTTGAGTGGTGAGTTTTTTGATGCTGGAGTCGCTGCTGAAGCGACAACATCCGATTGCTCCTGGCGCTGTCCACTCCGTGAAACAGGCGACACAACCAGAAATGCAATGAAAAGAGTCCGGAACGAAGGGAAAGCACAGGGAAATGCTCGCTTTGAGCTGGTTCTGTTTTTTTGCGACATTTTTGCAGAAGGTTTTTGCATTCGTGCAACTTTTTGTGGCTTTTGTGGTTGTTGGCACGCGGCATCGCGCAAAAGAGATGTACTGTGGGCGGGCGAGGCGTGTCAGTTGGCCGCCTTAAAGTTTGCGTGAACGTTTATTTTGTTTGCGCTTGCAGAAAGTGTGAAAATTTGAAGCTATTGCGCGCTCTAATTTCTGCTTTCTAGTGCT